TCTGTGCTTTTGTAGATCATTGACACACACACACACACACACACACACACACACACACACACACACACATACATATACATAAGTGTGTGTTTGTGTGTATCTGTGTGTAATATAATATATAGTATATATATATATACATATACACATACATACTGGGAGTTTGTACTCTACCAAAGACAACTCAATTTAACAGGTGTTATATGCAAGTGCGGGTTTCACAAGTGTCCTCCGAGATAATGCAACAATGGACAGAGACAGCAACGTATAGAGAGAAATTAAATGTGACGGTGCGAGGCTAGTTTGGGGTCCACGCAGGGGTACAAATGCGTACTTTTTTCGTCTGCTGTGCGAGCTTTTCAAACGCGGGAACTGATTACCACTGTCTGGCGAACAAAATGCACGCATAAGCGCAATACGCAATTTTCTTCGAATAATAGCTGTGACGTCACCGATTACGTTTCATTTTCTTGTTTATAGGACACCGTAGTATTACATATGATATTTTTTCCCCTCATCTATAAACTACCTTTTCTTGCTTAGACCCCCATCAATAATTATATGTTTATTTATCTATGCTTTCATAAAACTGGTAAGCGAACAATTGAATTGAAGAACGGGAATTAATTATGAGTGCAATGCATCCAATAAAGATTTTTTTTTCTTAATATTATGTTTATTGCTTTTATCATCTTTGTTGTTGATGTTATCATCATTATCAGTATTATTTGTAGTAGAAGCAGCAGTAGCAGTAGTAGTATTACTTTCACTATCACTATGTTTTTTGATCATTATTACCATCACGATCAACCACTATTATTGTTATTATTATTATTATTTATACTATTACTGCTATTGTTACCTTCATCATCTTTACTGTAATCATCAATATCGTCATTATTATTACCATCTCTAATATTTCATTCTTTCCTTTTTTCCCCATTTTTTTTCCTTGAATTCTTTTCTTTCGCCATCATTTTATTTCTCTTCTTCAGCACTATATTCTTCACTTCCTCCTTCCCCATCTCTTTGTTTCCTCTTCTGCTCCTTCTCCTTATCCCTCTTCTCCTTTCTCCTCCCTTTGTTGTTTCTCCATCCTTTTCTTCTCAAGGAAATTGTTTTCGTTTCGTGGACCCGGATGATCCTGGACAGGCATTTTGCTCATTTTCAAATTACTCACTTATATACAATACAGTGGTCTGAGGTCGGGTGGTCCTTCTTTTTTCAGTGAAGACATGGTATGCTTGCAGACATCAGTGAGTGTGAGGCTTCATGAGACATCAGTGAGTGTGAGGCTTCATTAGACATCAGCGAATGTGAGGCTTCATGAGACATCAGTGAGTGTGAGGCTTCATGAGACATCAGTGAGTGTGAGGCTTCATTAGACATCAGCGAATGTGAGGCTTCAAGAGACATCAGTGAGTGTGAGGCTTCATGAGACATCAGTGAGTGTGAGGCTTCATTAGACATCAGCGAATGTGAGGCTTCATGAGACATCAGTGAGTGTGAGGTTTCATTGGACATCAGTGAATGTGAGGTTTCATTGGACATCAGTGAATGTGAGGCTTCATGAGACATCAGTGAGTGTGAGGCTTCATAATGTGAGGCTTCAAGAGACATCAGTGAGTGTGAGGCTTCATGAGACATCAGTGAATGTGAGGCTGAGTGAGTGTGAGAGTGAGTGTCAAATTACTCACTTATATACAATACAGTGGTCTGAGGTCGGATGGTCCTTCTTTTTTCAGTGAAGACATGGTATGCTTGCAGACATCAGTGAGTGTGAGGCTTCATGAGACATCAGTGAGTGTGAGGTTTCATGAGACATCAGTGAATATGAGGCTTCATGAGACATCAGTGAGTGTGAGGCTTCATGAGACATCAGTGAGTGTGAGGCTTCATGAGACGTCAGTGAGTGTGAGGCTTCATTAGACATCAGCGAATGTGAGGCTTCATGAGACATCAGTTAGTGTGAGGCTTCATGAGACATCAATGAGTGTGAGGTTTCATTGGACATCAGTGAATGTGAGGTTTCATTGGACATCAGTGAATGTGAGGCTTCATGAGACATCAGTGAGTGTGAGGCTTCATGAGACATCAGTGAGTGTGAGGTTTCATTGGACATCATTGAATGTGAGGCTTCAAGAGACATCAGTGAGTGTGAGGCTTCATGAGACATCAGTGAATGTGAGGCTTCATTAGACATCAGTGAATGTGAAGCTTCAAGAGACATCAGTGAGTGTGAGACTTCAAGCGACATCAGTGTATGAGGCTTCATGAGACATCGTCTGACAACATGAAACAGCATGAGGCACCATATGACCCCAAGAGACTCCATGAGACTCCGAGACATTCGAGCTGCAAAATGGTAGTAATCAAGAGAGACAATAAAGATGATAATCATCATAATAATATCGGTGGTACTGATTTCAACAATTAGTAAGCTAACACGAACACCAATATTGACAATATCAAAAGTGATAATAATCATGATAATAAATATAAC